AATCAATAAAGAATTACTTTTAACCGTAGCACTCAACAAAGAGAACACAACGCAGGGATCTTCTCTTGTCTTTTCCTCTTCACATCTGGATTGCTTTGGGTTAGTGGACAGTTCATACCTTGGAGAAAGTATTTCACTCCACAAAGGAAATTAGACACACAGACACACACATTTTTAAACATCAAACTCTGCTTTAAATTCTTTCAGATTGTACATCACACACACACACACACACACGCACACACACACACACACACACACACACATCTTACAAGAAGCACTCGATACAGGCATTTTTCCACCAGGCATGAACAGAACAGTTAAAAAAACTCACTTCTTCTTTTACTTTCGGCTGTTCCCAGTTTAGGGGTCGCCACAGCCAATCATCCTTTTCCACCTAACTCTGTCCTCAGTATCCTCTAATCTTGCACCAACTACCTTCATGTCCTCTTTCAGCACATCCATATATCGGTTAAAAAAACTCACTAAATTTATTAAACCAGCCCGTTCAACACTTTGCATTACTTCAGCCATCACTTAGAATGTACATGCCTGGAGAAGCTACAGCTTATGCTGGGACACTACCGGGAGACCCAAACCAGTCCGTTGGGCTCAGCCTTGACGGTGGATCTAGTGGACTGTGAACAAGCCAAGCGATGGGCCAAAAATAGATTCAAAAACAAACTTTGAGAATCCACCATGGCAGAAGCTTCCAGTCACTTGGCAGGTCTCCTGGAGGTTGCCCCGCTTTGCCTACACAGTCAGGTCACTCATCTCCCCCTGATTGCTCTGTTTCAGGGCAGCCACAGATAACAGCGAGCTACCCTACTGCATTTGGGGCCCGCTACTCATCCCACTGACAACTGTGTCGTGGAGAGCAACCTCTATAGACCCACGACCCCCATCAATGTGGGGACTAGAGAGTAGTGGCACCACTAGCGAGTACTGGCGCACATACAGCAATGTTGTGTGTCCAGACTCTCTAAACTCTATCACCGAACTGTCCCAGTCCTCCCCAGATGACCGGTCACCCACAAATCCTTCGGCAATTTACTAAGATGCCAGAGAAATACTCACCTGAACCCGTCTCCTCTGTCCAGGCAGCAGACCGGTCACCGTGGGGCGAGTGGGACAAACTGTATTTTCCACACATCCACTATGGGGGCTCCAACGAGACACCCCGACACCAATTGGAAAAACTTGGATTGGCAAATCACAATAAAAAAACTATTATTAACTCAAGGATCCCCAGTTTTGACAATTCCCTCATTCACATTTTACACAGGTGCAAATTTTCTACACATCGCTTTTCTTCTGCAGAGGTTGCCCCCCCCCCAATGACACAGTATCTTGTCAGTGGGACGAAACAATAAAGACCAACTAGTTAATCATACCTCCAAAAAAATAGCTCCATGTAATGTGGAGAGTGGCAGCTAAAACATTCCTGTTGGCCACCATCTAAACACCAATTATTAATTTTTCCATTCACCTCACTCTACAGCAACAGAGGAACCTGAGGGAACTCAATCAGATCATTTTCAGTTTTGAATGAGATTTCTCCACTTCGCTTCAAGGTGCAGGAGGATGGGATCCACTGGATGCCGACCACAGTCCAAACGATACTAAATTACTTTCCATCCATGTCACACCTTTTCCTCCATTATCAAATCACAAATAATCCAATTTCACAGCATCTGCTCCCTGGAGACACACCTCCGTACTCTTTCAGGCTCCCCATCCGAAAGGTAACTCCAACTCCGTTGCATCCAGACCATCAAAACAAACTTTTTCAGTGTTGGAGGAGCCCGCCCCTATGAGTAGGAAGGACTCTGGGGATGTCATCTCCTTCATATCCACCTTCAATAACAGCTGGGGAGATGTGCTCAAGCTCCTCAAAAAACCAGCTACTCTCACAGATAGCTGCTGATCTTCTTCACCAGAGTTGCTACAGTTAATATTGGGACAATGTAGAGTGGCGAGGGCCACAAAACCCTGCATAGAATGGCATACTGGTTTATCCAAGCTTCGAAATGGCCCAGCAACCAAGACTTATCAACATTGGTAAGAAAGGCTCTTAGATCACTACATGATTCTCTGGATGGCTGCTGTGTCCTTCGGGTTCTTGACAGGTTTTTCTGACAGTGTCACTGATGTTGTTACAATTATCTTGAAGCTGAGCTTGAAACACATCTTTTTGCTTCTTCAAGACCAGGGACCTTGACTGTGCTGGTTTAGAACTCATTGTTGACCAGAAAATGTTGTCACAAGCATATACGTGGTTCAAGTGCTTATAGATGCTCCAGATTTGACCAGTGGCCTTTCGATTTTACCACCATGTTTCACCAGTCACGTGAGGGCAAAGACAGGTACAGACAGATTGTGACCAGAGATTATTCCGTCTCAAGCTTTTTGAGACGGAATAATATATATAATATAATATATATATTATATATTATAATAATATAAAGGGAATAATATAATAATAGGGAATAATATAAATAATATATATCTATTAGGGGTGTAACGGTACGCTAAAATCGTATTCGGTTCGGTACAGTGTCTTGGAGAGCTCGGTTCGGTTAATTCGGTTCTGTACAAAACAATAAGAACTTACAAAATCTTTATTTTGAAAAGCTGCCAATACACAGTAGAATTCTTGCATAAAATAAATAAAAGTGACACATTTGGGTGATATTTTAAATAAATTGCACTCTTTATAAAGAAAAACACATTTTTTTATATAAAAAATGAAATACTGCAACTAGTTAGGATAGATTACCTATCCACATTTTCTGAAGAGAGCATAGATCTGGTTGCAGTGACAACATGATGGTTGCAAATGCAAAATGGGTGCAAACACAGCTCATATTGAAGCCACAATAAAGAGCCATAACACATTATTGATCACAATCATACATTTCTTGTTAAGCAACATTTATAATTAGTGGAACAAAACTAATGATTTAAACGAACACATGTTGACCTTGCAACATAAAAGGGATAGAAGAGATTAATTGAATGAATGTTAAGAGCAACGGTCCTGTGAGACTTCATTACCAACTAAAACATTAAATGATTGTCAATTGTTGTGTTCCCTTTTGTAGATCAGTATAAAACTGTAGTTGGTGAAATTTGATGCACAAATCAGTACAATAATATGATTCATGATGTGTGGTGTCCGGAAGACACAAGATAATTATCTTCACAATGTTTTTCATCTAAAGTTCCTTTGAGATACATGTGTTTTAACAGGGGTGTGTTAGTATAAGGATCACATCAAAATATAGCAACATGAAAAATATAAATATGTCATGCTATGTTTTTGTTAGTATTAGCTGTCTGCCTGCTGCCTCGTTTCACCTGCATGGAGCGTTTGTTCTCCTGCTGTGACATTTGTGTTCTTTTTCCCCGGGGGGGTTGGTGGTTGTCGCGGTTTTGAGAGAGTCTCCCTCTCTTTCCGGAGAGTGACTTTTTGGAAGTGCACCACGAGCTTTAGGATATTCTTAGTTTTGGAACTTCAGGCCTTTGAGATCGCCGTAGATTTGTTGCTTCTGTGCTGTTTTCTCTTGCACTTGACAGTTTTTAAAAGTGAACATCATAGTTCATACCATAATCCAATAACATCCACCATTTCTGTGCATTCTAAATAAAATAATGAATTATTCTGCCTGAAAAAAAATTAAAAAGATAGAACAAATTCAATTTTGAAATAAAGGCTCATATAATATCCATATTCAAGAAACCATCTCTCAGTGCATGATTCATTTTTGTAGCATGACTTTTCATAAATTTCTAAAAGACCATTTCAACTCTCATATAACAGTAATCTAGACCAGGGTTCGAAATTAACTTTTTTTTCACCAGCCAAAGTGTCAATCAGAATTTCCATTGGCCAAGTTTTTATGTGGTGAAATTAAAATATTATGAATGGCACTGAAAGAAAATGTGATCATTTTATTAAACCAACTAAGCCACGGTGCCTTGTTTATGTCAAATCGCAACAGAGATAACTGTAGTCAGGTTTTGTGCTACAAGGAAAATAAATTAATTCTATTTTCACAATGATGGAATCCCACTGCACTGCTGGGATTTGAACCCAGGATCTCCTGTTTACTAGACAGGCACTTTAACCTACTAAGCCAAGATGCCTTGTATTTGACAATTCACAACAGAGGTAACTGTAGTCAGGTTTTGAGCTACAAGGAAAACAATTTAATTATATTATAATCCAAGAAATTATTTTGTGAAGAAAACACGTACATCTTTAAGACACTGTTGGGGATTTGAACCCAGGATCTCCAGTTTACGAAACAGGAACTTTAACCAAATAAGCCAAGATGCCTTGTATTTGACAATTCACAACAGAGGTAACTGTAGTCAGGTTTTGTGCTACAAGGAAAATAATTTAATTATATTTTCACAATGATTGAATCCCACTGCACTGCTGGGATTTGAACCCAGGATCTCCTGTTTACGAGACAGGAACTTTAACCAACTAAGCCAAGATGCCTTGTATTTGACAATTCACAACAGAGGTAACTGTAGTCAGGTTTTGTGCTACAAGGAAAATAATTTAATTATATTTTCACAATGATGGAATCCCACTGCACTGCTGGGATTTGAACCCAGGATCTCCTATTTACGAGACAGGAACTTTAACCAACTAAGCCAAGATGCCTTGTATTTGACAATTCACAACAGAGGTAACTGTAGTCAGGTTTTGAGCTACAAGGAAAACAATTTAATTATATTATAATCCAAGAAATTATTTTGTGAAGAAAACACGTACATCTTTAAGACACTGTTGGGGATTTGAACCCAGGATCTCCAGTTTACGAGACAGGACCTTTAACCAAATAAGCCAAGATGCCTTGTATTTGACAATTCACAACAGAGGTAACTGTAGTCAGGTTTTGAGCTACAAGGAAAATAAATTAATTTTATTTTCAAAATGATGAAATCCCAAAAATTATTTTGTGAAGAAAAGATGTATTTTGTTAAGGCACCACTGGGATTTGAACCCAGGATCTCCTTCTTTACAAAACAGGAACTTTAACCAAATAATCCACGGCACATTGTTAATGCCATATCACATCACAGGTAACTGTAGTCAGGTTTTGAGCTAAATTGAGCCCAAAATTTATTTTGTGAAGAAAAGATGTATTTCTTTGAGGCACTGCTGGGATTTGAACCCAGGATCTCCTGTTTACGAGACAGGCACTTTAACCAACTAAGCCACGATGCCTTGTATTTGACAATTCACAACAGAGGTAACTGTAGTCAGGTTTTGAGCTACAAGGAAAATAAATTAATTCTATTTTCACAATGATGGAAGTATTTTGTGAAGAAAACACATAAACATTTAAGGAACCACTGGGATTTGAACCCAGGACCTCCTGTTTGCTAGACAGGCACTTTAACCTAATTTACAACATATGTAACTGTAGTCAGGTTTTGTGCTACAAGGAAAGCAACAATTAATCGACACAACACTAACTTAGAATACCACAATTATGACTCTGGTGGGACTCGAACCCACAAACTTTGAATGTCTTCCTCACTCACCTAGAAGTCTAATGTGCTGTCTATTGCGCCACAGAGCCCCTCTTCTTTTCAATGGGAAAATCCCAATTAACCTAAAACAGAAAACATTCAAAGCAAATTAATTTGGGAGGGAAAGAAGTTAATTTTAAGGAGAATGAGGGGTTTTGGACCAAGGATTTTCTGTCTAGACAGGCACTTTATCCAAATAAGCCACGGCGCCTTGTTTATGCCAATCCACAACAGAGGTAACTGTAGTCAGGTTTTGAGCTACAAGGAAAATAATATGATTATATTTTCACAATGATGGAATCCCAAAAATTATTTTGTGAAGAAAACATGTATTTCTTTAAGGCACCGCTGGGATTTGAACCCAGGATCTCCTGATTATGAGCAGGAACATAACTGTGCATGAAACACGCACATAACATGCAATACACACAACAAACTACACATTTGTGAACTGTTAGAAACTTAATTATACATCTAAGATAGAACACTATACACCAGTGGATTTTTCAGCCGAGTACTCTTTAGACACCTCAGCCTCATAGCGTACCCCCCACTACCAATTACTCTAAATAAGTGACTATAAATATATTGTTTTAAATGACAAATAAGTACTGAACAGTTGGCTATATTTCATTAATAAAAATGTATTATAAATCATGATTTTGTCAAGCATCAGGTGCATATGAAAATAAGTGAAATGTTAATCTCTGTTTAATGTGATGAATTTTCTTGGGCAGAGAGACAAAGAGAACTGTGCTTTTGTTTGTTTCTCTCATTTCTTTTTCATCAATAAATAGTACTGGAAAACAAATATGTTTTATTTGCATTTAATTAAATTGATATGGCACAAATTAATATTGACGGTTTCCCAAAAACATTGTTTATAAAAACAGGGGAATGTTCGAACCTGTGTCGCCCTGCGCAACTGCGTGCATATGTGCCTGGCACACCGTCCACTATACCTTGGAGCCAGACAAAACAGGGTATTAATTAAAAATGAAAATAAAAAATTGCCACAGTCTGTGTCTCTCTCATTCTATAGTTTCCAGTAATTCTCTCCTTCTCTCTCGTGCTTTGTCAAGTGACCCTTTGAACTCAATAACACTTTAATATACAACAAACATTGTAGCTTATCGATTAATGTTTTTTTTTTTTTTTGGCTACAGCTGCCAGATGTCTGGCACTTTATATACATTTTTTAAAAGTCTAAAATTTCCACTGAAATCTTTGGAAGAGGGATGCTGAATCCAAACAAGGCATCTGGGATCTGTCTTAATCTTAAAATGTAAATAAAATGTAATTGATTAGATCGCTTAGTACAAACATACACTTAGTAATCTTCTTAGAGTATCTACAGAGTTGTGGGCCTCTAAAAACTGTGATTTTATCAACAGAGTCTGGCGTAGAAATGTATAGGATTCAACACTGATTGGAACTTTCCGGAAATGTTGAGGGTCCATGACCCGTACGTATCCCTGCTATTGCAGTCCTGTGTAAGTGTCATCACCCTGCTCACACTCTTTTTATCTTTCTATTTTACTCACAGTAAATTGTAAAATAATACATTTTGTGAATTATCATTTTCCTGATTAACCTTAAACACAAACATGACAACATTGATGAGTCTATTTGTATCAAACCGTTTTTTGATTCTTTGGTGAGTGAAACATTCCTGGCTGCTTTGCAGTGGGAGACAGAACCTTTTACGCTCATCTTTGCATAGTGCACATGCTGTTATATGAAGCGGACTGTGATGAGCGTATTCTTACAGTACATGAGCAAACAAACATCCATCCTGCTTGCAGCAGAACTAGGCCAGCAGGTTGTTTTCTCCTGAGTGAAATTGAAATGTCAAAATAGAGAAGCGTGAGGAAAAATTGGGTGGGTGTATGAGATGGGCAAGACATGTGACGTTTGAAATGCTGGATGTAGAGCCATCTCTTGTGGGGTTATTACAGTACAACTTTGACGCCAGCAGAGGAAAGATTTATGGAGTTATGACATTGGATGATAAAGATGTTTGTGCACCTTCCTCCCAGAGGTCTTTTAAAGGATTAATCTGGGTCAAAGTTACATTTTGTTGACAGAACATCTCTTCAGAAATGGCAATAGTTCACTCCTAATTTGTGTTTTGAGCAAACAAGTCTTGATGCATTAAACACCGGAACACGATGTAGTTAACATTTATTCTTTTAATATTCTGTTAACATTTCATTCTTTTCTTCTTTTCCATACTCATCCGGAGATTCGCGGAGGCTTCGCTCACCATCACCTCTCCCTAACAACCAGATCCACCTGGAGATGTTCTGGCGCCCCCTGGACCGCAGCCCACCAACTCCACTCTTCTTCCAATACTCATCCCGAGGCTCCCGGAGGCCCTGCCCACCAGCTCCTCACCCCAACAACCAGACTCATCAGGAGAAGATCCGACGCCGGGAGGCTCGCTACCAGCCCTCAACCTAACAAACAGATTCACCTGGAGATGTTCCGGCACCCCTGGACCTACACCGAACACAGTCATCATCTGTTTATACTATATTATCTGTTCATACTACCATATCATCTGTTTATACTACATTATCTGTTTATGTTTATATTATTATATCATCTGTTTATACTATATTATCTGTTCATACTACCAGATCATATGTTTATACCATAGTTTATCACACTGCTGTTGTTACCCAAATGAGGATGGGTTTCCCTTTTGAGTCCGGTTCCTCTCAAGGTTTCTTCCAAAAGGGAGTTTTCCTTGCCACAATCGCCCCGGGCTTGCTCATCAGGGACATGTACACGACTTAGTAATTAATTTCTTTTAACTTTGTTGAGTTTAAACTTGTTGGTTTACTGTAAAGCTGCTTTGAGACAATATCTGTTGTGAAAAGCGCTATATAAATTAAACGAACTTGAACTTGAACTTGAACATTTAGTCCAGGTGTTTTTATTTTACAATTGATTGTATAATTTTTACTATCATCATTGGATTAAAGTGATGCAGAGTCGTTTAAAACAAGGTCACACAGACTATAGCACTACAGTTCCAGAACTTTTACTATTCAAATCCCTGCTGTAAAAAAAGGGAGTACCCCAAAATTGTACTTTTCGAATTAATGATTTTGATGTTGTGCAACTCTCTGGTAGGCCAAGAATGTTACCTGGCCAAGAAGGGTCCTTTCTCAACCGGGCATAATAGTTCCTAAATTAAAGAAAAAATAATGAGGATGATAATGATTTGACCTGTAAAGTAATGTTTAAAGTGCACACAATCGAGTCACTATGTTAAAGATATGCCGCGGGAGTCAAAGAGGATTGCCAAAGGGGCCCAGGAGGTGCCCACTGACCAGTTCAAGTGTGTCTAGAGTCACTGATACTCGGCTGGATTCCTTTCCAACAGAGGAGCATGCCACACACTAGATAGGTAGATCGGTGGGTGGTTGGATGAATGGATGGATAGATATTTCCAATATACTACTCTTTGAGAAATGCTAGCACCACAACTGCTACACACTGCTCTGACTTGGGAAACAACAAAATGATTTGGAGTTCAGCTGAACTCCCTCCCTTATTAGCAAAAAACCAATGGTAAATCTTAAAGTTATGAGGTTGCAGTCCCAGGTACCACCTTCTGACTTGAGCATTATGATCATTTTCTGGATCCATGTAATTTTCTGGATCCCAGAAAGTAATAATTTAGTGCATCCTGGACCCAACTAATGATCAAACACTCTCACGAGTTTCTTGTCTCCCAAGGCAGCAACTTCCTGCTGATTTCTTTGTCCCGCCATCCTCTTGTGCCAAAACAGCACCAAGAATCGATTTGATAAAAGAACCCAAAAAAATCAGGGCTCTTCAAAACTGGAACAGAACAGCCCAACCTTCACTTCCCTGAAGCACACAATCCATCAACTGCTGAAATTTTGGGAGTGCTCCATGCAACCCGAAGAATAGGCCAACAGGCGTGCTAAACGTGCTGAAGAGTCAGAAACTTGGTTTGAGAGGCATTTGCCAGTAGCCCTTGCAAAGGGAGATGGTGAGGATGTAATTGGCTTGTCCTATTTGTTCCAGCAGGTCATCAATCCTCCACATGGGGTTTGCATCAAATCTTGATTGTGCATTGAGCTTCTGAAAATCAATACAGACCGGCAAAGATCCATCCTTTTTTGAAATGATGACTAGAGTCTTCTATTCCTGAAGACTCCTCAATAACTCCCAACTGCTTCATGCTCTTTATCATCTTTCAGTAATCTCTCAGATGTCCTATAGGGATTTTCTGGAGGGAGTTGGATGGTCAGGTGAATAGTGTGGTTGATTAGCTTCATGCGACCTGGTCTAGTTCAGAAAATTGGAGGGAAAGTGACAAGAAGATTCTGTAGTTCTTCTTGTTTCCTTTCCTCCAGATCAGAGTTGGATACAACCTTGAAGAAACACGCCTCTTTCTACTTGGTTTGTTTAAAGCTGCAAGTGTTTGTACTGAAGCAGGGCTATAACAAAAACCAAGAGGGACACTGGCCCTCCAGGAATGACTTTCCCACCTCTGCTCCAGATTGTGTGTGTTGATCCTCTAAGGGCTCACTTCTTGAGTAGATTCCTCTTCTCCAACTTTTTGTACCAATAAATCTGTTTCCTGATTTTCTCTTACCTGTTCCTTTTATACTTTCACGAGGTTCTCTTGGTAAGTTTGATGTGTCTTCTTCTTGTCTGAATGTATTGATATCGTGCACTGCTCTACTCTTGGGGGTGGTGTAGATACGATTGGTAATGGAAGTAAAGTGGGCAGCGAGTGGCTTATTGGTGGTTATGGTCGTCCTAGAAGGTTTGGCGGTTCAGTCCCTGACTGAAGCTGTAGAGGTGAAATGGTAACCACGTTCTGTCACCACCAGTATTGCACT